TGATTGGCCAGCTATCCAGTGCGTTGTGATTGGCCGAATACCTCAAGCGTGTGACGGAAATGTTACGCCCCTTACCAGGTTCAGGAAACTTTTCTCCGTAAAATGTGCTGCACACATCTGAATATTTGGGTTGAAGTGTTCTGGAACAGTGCTGTAAATACAACTTAACCACTGGATTCTAGTCGTGTCCTCTTTTGGAAGACCAAACAAAGTAGTTTTGCTTTCACAGCGAAACACAGCGTCTTCACGACATGGCGGCGGCGGCAACAATACTACAGCGAGAATAAAAGTTACGCCTTCTTTCTTTGCGTGAACATTTGGGTGGCGTTATGCAAATCTTCCCACATAGTGACGTAGACATGTGGGGGCGTGTTAGAACGAGCCGTTTTAGGAAAACTTGGATGAGCCTTCACTTTCAGAAAGAATATCTCTTTGGGTTTGAGACTTTAATCTTTGCAACTTTACGGATCTTCTGTATGCGCAAACAGCTTGTAACACTCCAAAGACAAAGGAAAACATGAAATCGCATCATATGACCCCTTTAGCATGCAATCTTAACGTGTGCTTTCCGTGCACAAAATGGAGTCGCTACACTTCCTCTTACCAACGCTCTTTATTATGCATCAGTTAACTCATTCAAACTCATAAAACAGTGAAACTTTATGCATCAACCCATTTTACACTTTATTTCAAACGTTGACTAATAGGTCACAGATCCACAAGAAACCATGGAAACGAACTTTTCATTTGCATTATTTGAACAAACAATTTTAAGCGTTTTAAACCATTTTATGAACTATTTTTAATCATGTTCTTTCTTGTATTCTATTGTGACAGTTCTACATTTTAATAGATCACACAAACAGGCCAAAAAGTCATAGAAAGTGCCTTCTTTTACTTCCTATGTGGGACATTTCATAAAAAAAGTGATTTTGAGTGACGCCCATGTACTGCACTTTTTAAAAATGTATTTTAATTTTAATTTTCAAAAATAAAAGTTATACTTTTCAAATAAGTTTTGATAGTTGATATTTTTGGGGGAGTGTAGGGAATAGGGCATAGGAATGAGTCCGCCTTAGTTGCTGATGCAGTAATCATTAAAAAATGGCTTAGATAACTCAACTCAAGATTATCTGTACATTAATCTAACAATCAAAAAGGGAGACAAATCAAAGCTAAAATCTGTTTTTATTTTGATCTCCTTCTTTAAGAGTAAGTGAATATGATAATATACAGAATAGGTTTCTCAATCTTCAATACATTTGTCCAAAAGCAACAACAGAATCAAATAAGGCTTCAGATTTGTTATACACATGAAATATAAAAATGAATTTAACATTAATAAATGTCCTGGTCAACAACAAACAACTACTGTGTACTGAACTGATTCTAAATTGTTAATGTGAAAATAAAAAATATTGATAAAAAAACAACAAACAATTAAATAATTTGGGAAATAAATGTAAAAGCCTGAATATTCATATCTTAATTATTTAGCACATAAAAAAAAAAACATCATTAGATGCCACTTTATTAACATTTGATGTATACAGGAATAACATAGGCTATGCAGCATTCATAAAAATGTTACACAGCATCAAAATTCAGCTTCATTTGCATACTATGTGCATGCCATTTAGCAGATGCTTTTATCCACAGCGGCTTACAAATGAGGACAATAGAAACAATCAAACTAACAAAAGCATATCTTTTAATTATTGTGGCTGTTCCTGATTCAGATGAGTGCACCATCTAAAAACAGATAAGAAGCCGATTTCAATCTAAAGATTTTAGAAGTTTTTATCGAGTTCTTCAAAAACCTTTCTGCAAGCACATAAAAAAAAAAACATCATTAGATGCCACTTTATTAACATTTGATGTATACAGGAATAACATAGGCTATGCAGAATTCATAAAAATGTTACACGGCATCAAAATTCAGCTTCATTTGCATACTGTGTGCATGCCATTTAGCAGATGCTTTTATCCACAGCAACTTACAAATAAGGACAATAGAAACAATCAAACCAACAAAAGCATATCTTTTAATTATTGAGGCTGTTCCTGATTCAGATGAGTGCACCATCTAAAAACAGATAAGAAGTCGATTTCAATCCTAAGATTTTAGAAGTTTTTATCGAGTTCTTCAAAAACCTTTCTGCATTCTCTTGCTTGTCTAATAGCTTCGACTAGCTCTGTTGCGTCTCCTCCATCCATGCTGAATGGATTTTTTTTACTCAGCTCTTCAAAGCTCCTTTCATCACTACATTTATATAAGTCCTTGATAAAATTTAAGTTTTTATAATATACTCCTAACTGCGTTTTGGGGTCATTTGGTAAATCCACCCCATTATATGTTTCCCTACATTTGAGCAATCCATTGCAGTATGCACCAGATGCCAAATTCCTCTTATTCAGAGTTGACTGGTTGATGATCAGGCCTTTTAGGATTAGACCATCTTTACTTAGCTTAAATCTTTCTGGTGCAACGATGATGATGGGCTTTCCTTTTCCAAACATAGCTTTAAAATTGACGCGTTCCTTGACCTGCCTGATCAGAATGCATGACTCCATTTTGTAATCATTTTTGCCCCTGTTTTTCTTGATTATAAAACTCTCCTCTATGGTGTCCTTTTCCTCCTCCACTAGAACGCAGAAGTTGGGTTCTGGGTAATACACGAAGAGAGCATTGACCTCTGCTAAGGCTGTACGAATCTGGCGGTCCAAGTCACCTGCAATGTGATGTTCTTGCTCGTGGGTGAACTCGTAACCGGTCGACATGACGGTGGGTGGGATGGGCGGATCGTTTTTCAGCTCCTTTCTCACAATTTGCAAGTATTCACTGTAGATGGAGTTGAAGCTGAAAGTGTCGCTATCAACAAAACTGAAGTAAACCAGACAACTTCTATCGTTTCCCCTCAACTCCCGCACAAGATTTGTTGTAGCAGCGTGGCTTTTCAGATACTCTCGAATATCCTGGTATGGTATGGTTTTATCAGGCACTTCACTTGCTATTGTTCCACCGCTTCCCCAAGTGTACGTGATTATAGAATACCTGATTTTACAATCGTACCTGAATCTCTCGAGATCGTCCAGATCTTGAACTAGCTCTGGGGTGTGTTTTCTGTTCATGCCAAAAATCACGGCTACGTCTTCCAGCACCTGTCTGCCATTCCCATCCCTCATAAATTTCCTATCCTCTTCTGTAAAGCCTTCAATTAGAGCATCGAGTAGATAACGACACATTTTCTGTGCCTCATCCTCCGAATCCACCTTCAAAGGTATATTGATCAAAAACTTGACCTTTAAGCCCTGATGAAGACACAGAACACACTTATTTTTTTATTGAAAACGCAAGCGATTTTGGTGAGTAGAGGATAGAAAGAATGCACATGCACAGTGTGCTTACTTAATACCTCTAGTGCCTATAATAAACTGGAAACTGGAGTAGTCAACATTTTATAATTATAATTACATGTTTGTGAAGAATAGTAACTACTTCATCACAAACCATGTTAAATATAATATCTAACCTGAGTAGAGGGGTCTCTGCTTGCCATCTGCTTGCTCTTCGTTGCTCCTAACCGAGTGAAATCTGCCGAGTCTTATATAACAGGCATGAGATCGGACAAAAAAGAAGGAAGGAAGTTTGCGCACTCCTCCCCGAGCCGCAAGGCAGTGTCGACAATTTAGCAATTTTGTTGTTAGATTAAGCAACTTTTCAGACTACCCTAGCAACTTTTTCGTTAAAGAGCACCTTGCAACAAATGTAGCTATTTAAAAAATTTATTTAAACATTTAAAAATAATAAAAATTTATTATTTAGTCTCTAATGTTAATAATAAAATGTCAAATCAAATTTATGTCACAAGTCAACGGGCTAAAACCTGTGAGCAACCTGTACACTTAGCCACACAACATACAAACCATATGTGAAATTGAGATTAATAAATGAATAAATAATCTTTCCATTGATGTATGGTTTGTTAGGATCGAACAATATTTGGCTGAGATACAACTATTTGAAAATCTGGAATCTGAGGGTGCAAAAAAATCTAAATATTGAGAAAATCATCTTTAAAGTTGTTCAAATGAAGTTCTTAGCAATGCATATTACTAATCAAAAATTAAGTTTTGATATATTTACGGTAGGAAATGTACAAAATATCTTCATGGAACATGATCTTTACTTAATATCCTAATGATTTTTGGCATTAAAGAAAAATCGATAATTTTGACCCATACAATGTATTGTTGGCTATTGCTACAAATATACCCCAGCGACTTAACACTGCTTTTGTGCTCCAGGGACACATATTTACTCCATTCTGATGTCAATGTTTAATCAAATAGGTTGCTATTTTGTCCAAATGCTGATGTTAAATATGATTAATAAATGGCACGCCTTCACTACTTTTCATCGGCAATACTTCATTTCAGCAACACGGAACATACACACGGGTCAAAGACATTAAGATGTCCGCGTCAAAAGAAATTTACAAAAGTGATTTTATGTCCACAGAAAGCACATTAAATGTATAAAGTGTCTACTGTTAAGGTTTCAAATAAGCTTTTGGAGAATAAAATGTCACAATTTGGTTGAAATAATGTTACATTGTCATTCAGTGTAACACAATATTTATGTAAAAATTCAAACAACATGCTTATTCGGACTTGTACATATTAAAATATATAAAAGAATAAGGGAGCATATTAAATTTGATTGT